CCTGTCCATGAACTGAGAGGCAGCCCTTCAGACACAATAAGGAAGCGAGCCTGGTGTAAAATCAGGGCTGCATTTTCTCATCACACGATTCAAACTGTATGCTGAGCAAATAACCTGAGAAGCTGGATTTTATGAAGAAGAATGTGCCATCAGGCCTGGAGGAAGGCTCATGAGCCACCTGTGATATGCAGATGACACACCTGCTGGCTGGAATCGAGGAAGACTGGAAACACTCGCTGATGAAGGTCGAGGACTGCAGCCTTCAGCACGGATCACAGCGCAGTGTCAAGCAGGCCAAGCTCCTCACAGCTGGACCACAGACACTATGGTGATCAAAGGAGAAAAGACTGAAGGCGCCAAGGATTTCATTTTATTTAGATCCACAATATTGCTCATGGAGGCAGCAGCCAAGGGGTCAAACGGTGGCTTGTATTAGGCAAACGCAATGTACAAGACCTCTTTGAAGTGTGTAAGTGTGAGCGTGGGAGTGAGAGTGTCACTCGGAGGACTGAGGTGCTCCTGGTCCAAGCCCGGAATGTTCAACAGCCTCCTCTGTCTGTAAACGGTGGATGACGAATAAGGAGGAGTGCAGAAGAGTCGATGCAGTTGGATCACGGTGTTGGAAAAAACATTGAAACTACCTTGGAGCGCCAGAAGAACAAACTCATCTTTCTTGGAAAGCGTGCAGCCAGCCTGCTTCTGACAAGGGAGATTCTGTCTCATAGCCACTGGACTTGTATCTGGAGAGAGCAGGCTCTGGAGGAGGACAGCGGGTTTGGTGCCGCAGAGGGTCAGCCAGGAAGAAGGGAGTCTGTCGACGACATGGGATTGCATAGCGCCTGCAACAACAGGCTGGAGCCTGGCCAGGGCTGTGCAGCTGCCATAGGCCTGGGCAGTGTGTCGTTCTGTCACCCACAGGGTGGCTGTGAGCAGGAACCGACCCAAGGGCACCTAAAAACAGCTACCTAACGTCCCTGATGCCATGGCTACTTGTAAGCGCCAACGCACGAGGCGAGAATGCCTATCAGGATGCTGTGCATGTGACTGCATTTATGATCAACTGGCTCTAAGTAAAGATTACTCTCCAGGCTTTCCCCAAATGGTCGATACTGCTTCCTCGAGGCGCAGGCATAATTCAAGGGGACTGCAGAAGCAGATACCTCCACTTTACGTGGAAGAAGGGCTACCACACAAGTGTTTGTGATTGCCAGCAGGATGCCAAGTCATGCTTTTCTGAACAGGTATGTCACATAAGTGTGTGAACCTATGCATCTAGACAATGCCGGTGGACGTTATTCATCACTTGAAGGTCTTAAGACTTGTTTGTCTCAAGACTGTCACCAGCCAGCCACACAATCATGTAAACATTTTCTCAAAATTATCTATCTATCATCCATCTACCGATCCCTCTATCTAATCTATCCATCCACCCATCACCCATCTACTTGTCCAACTCCCACCTGTCTGTGTAAATGGACATGATCCGAAAGCTTGCTTTCTGGGTCTGGGTTCTGCACATGGCTTGTCCTCTGACCTCTGGTCCGTTGGACTCCATTCAGTAGGCTGCAGTATTGTGTGCTAATCCTGGGAGTACGCAAGGGCCTGCCATCGGATGGACTGACTTGGCTTCATTGTTATCTACAGCCTAATGCCTCTTATCTTCATACAGATCACGGGTTCTTCAGCCCCTGCAGCCATGAGAGTCAGGGGAAGCTTCCAGCCTAACTTCTGACCCATGGACTTGGACTTGATCTCTTCTACAACTGTGTGAGCCATTTTCTCGATATAAATTTCTCTCTGTATAAACTTACCTACAGAGAGATTTTGGTTCTCTAGAGAACCCAGCCTAAGACTCTATCTATCTATCATCACCTATTGGTATGTCCATCCATATGTCCATCTATTCATTTACCCACCCAGCTACCTCCTGAAAAAGAAAAACGAGCAGCCATACACCCATTGCCATTGAGTGAATTCTGACTATTCTTACTTGCTGATCTCTCCCTACCTCCCTCTGTCCCTCCAGTCTTGCCTCCCTCTTTCTCATCCCCCTTCTTTCCTTCATCCACCCAGCTGTCCATCCATCCATCATTCCAACCATTCACCTCTCTCTACATTCCATCAGTCCTGTTTCTCTCAACACCTTGGTCGAAGAAAGTCAGGCAGGGGACAGTGTTGCTGCCACGTCCCTTGGTGAGAAGGACCCTGTGTCACCAGCCTGTGAGAGCCTGTGGGCGAGAAGCTGGCAGGTCCTCCACCCCTGCACTCTGTCACCTTCATGACCCAGGGGTGCCATGGCTGTGTTCCCCCTGCTTCCTGTAGCACTGCCCTACCTTGTGTTACAGCAGCTATCCCCGACCCCCTCAGCACCTGCTCCCTCAGAGATGAGCCGAGCTGCAGCTGGGCTGGCTGCTGACCCTCACTCGCTGCTCCGTATACCTGGAGTTGGATACCTGGCCAGGTGTGCCTGCTGTTCTTGCCGCCATACCTGCGCTGCCACCATCACCACTTTCTATTCCTCGCCCGCTCCTTCCCATCTTCTGTCTACATTTCTTCTTTTGTCAGTCTGTGTGTCTCTGCCTTCGCTCATCCTCTGGTCCAGCTCAGAATGACTGAGTGCTGGCGGGCGCTGCCCTGTCCATGTCCACAGGGGAGTGAGGTGGAGGAGGGAGGCATCATGCGAGGATCCCAAAGAGTCGAAGCAGCTCCACACTCATCCGGGGACAGGCGCCCTAGGATGAAAATCTACAACAGGAGGTGTGACCCAGTCACAGGGATGTGGAAGGGTCCCCTCATAGCATGGCAGTGTGGAGAGGGAGCTCACACAGGGGTGGATCATGGGAAATGAGGAGGCGGTGGGGTGGGCGGAGAGAAGCCACGCTGCACACAGAGGCCCCGAATAGAGCAGATGCAGCTAAGGATGGGGGCTGCCCTCACTACCTGTCTGTCCCCCTCGGGGCCCAAGGCTGGGGTCTGTCCTCTGAGTCCACCCCGGCTCCAGGTTCCCGTGTCCGTTAAACAGAAACGCCCGGCACGGTTCTCAGAGGCATTGACTGTCCAGACAGTGATCCACTTTCTTCTGAGGGTGAGCAGGGCTTTCAGTTAGCAGCTGATCACAGTGTCCACCTTGGCCCTGCTCAGGGACGTCCGAGTGGCTGGGGCATGCTAGCTAGTCCAGCTAGGTGTGCTAACCCAAGGCAAGTGTGGCCACAAAGGGGTGGTGGTTAGTGGACCATAGACCACACTGGCCAGGCGGTTGGAAGCCCTGGTGCCCTTCCTGTGTGCGGATGAGATGCACAGTCAAGTCGGCCTTATGGACATGGAACTTGAGGGTGGCACATGGTCCCTTTGCATGTCCACTCTCCCTGACGCTGCTCGCGGGGATACCAGCTTGGTGTTTGTGTGGCTGTGTCTGAATTCAGAAATTACCAGCCCCCAAGCTAGGATATACCTGGGAAGCCATTCCGGCTCCCTTCCTCACCCTGAGGATACTCATGCCTCCACTCCTGAGCAAGGCGAGACTCTCTCCTGGGAAAGAAAGATCTGGAAGACCATTTCTTTCCTCTCCATAGGAAGATGTGGCATGTAGTCATTGAATTCCCACCCTCAAGCATTGCCCCTCCTCATCAGACACCTCAACAGTTTCTTTGCTCCTGTGTGTGTGTGTGTGTGTGTGTGTTTGTTTAATTGCAACATGTTTTCATATTATCCAGGGTGTCTTAGGGCATCCCGTGAAGTTCCTGTAAGGATGCGAGGATGGTCAAGGCCCAAGAGAAGCCGGCAGGTGATCCAGGAAGAACTTCAGCTTCAGGCCTGGGGTGATGGGGTGGGGCTCTCTGAGTTTAATTAGTACCCTGCTGGTGGGCAGATGGAGGTCCATGCTAGGCCTGGCCGGGTCCATAGCATTCAAGACACCAGGTGTGGTAGTTATGTAACCTAGTGCCGGCCTGAGGATAGTAAGGGTGAAGGGGTGGATCTAGCCTGTCAGTGAGGTCACAGCCCGATGAAGCTTCCCTGTGGGCGGGGCCTCCTCACGGGCATTCTGGGAACTTCCTTTTCTATCTCCTGGGAGGTGGCCCACATTCTCTCTCTGTTACACATTCCTGTGGACTAGCCAAATGGAAACCCATGCTGAGAGGCTCCCACTGCCGATGGATCCACAACACTTTGCACCCGCTGGCCTGCGATCTTCCCGCATCGGCATTATTGCAAGTGGCTAAGTGAGTCTGAAGAGGAATTTATGGACTAGTATTAAACATATGGGTTAATATCGGACTGACGAACTTGATCTGGGCTGAGCTGGGATGTTTTCTCAATATACAATTGCTCTTCCATATAAAGCTCTCTCGTACACACATATGAGTGTCTCTGGATTTGTTTCTCTAGTCAACCCGGCCTCACACACCAGGGCTCTGCTCCTCCCTGAGCAGCCTGCAGTGACCGGGATGCTCAAGACTGCTCTGCACGCTCAGTAATTCCCATTAGCACTGCATTGCACTCACTCACTCACTCACTCACTCACTCACTCACTCACTCACTGACTGCCATCAAGCTGCTGCTGACTCACAGTGACGCAGGAGGACAGGGTAGAACTGCTCCCATGGGATTCTGATGCAGCAACTCTTTAGGAGAGTAGAAAGCCCATCTGCCTCCCTCAGAGAGGGGGCGGTTAGCATTCTTGTTTAAAGACTATTGTTTGCCACACTGGCCATCCCATCACACTCCATGCCACCAGGGGCACTGCGGGACGTGCTTTTACAAACCACCAGCCTGCACAGACATGGTCTTGGCACCAGAGCCAGGCCACCATTAGGAATCCAACCTCCATCGTTTGGGGTGCTGGCCCCTCTGTGGAGCTAGCTCAGTGGACAGTGGACAGAGCATTTACTCAGTGGCACTGGGGCATACAGACCATCCCCTGGCCCCCCCACCCCAACTCTGATCACGCAGCTGCCACAGACAGGTGTCCTGCGGTGGGGCATGAGAGGGGTGGTACTCACGGTTGTGGCAGGTGGCCCCACTGTAGCCGGTGTCGTCACAGGTGCACTTGAAGCTGTCCCACGTCTGTGAGCACTTGCCCCCATGTTCACAGTGATTGGGCTCACACCTGCCAGAGAGACACAAACAACCCACACAAATGAGGTTGACCAGCAGCCAACTCCAGCTCATCCCAGCCATCCATCAGCGCAGCACTGGCTGGCCAATCCAAGGCCATTAATCCTTGTTCATTTAAGCAGATTACCGTGACCCCTGATGGGAAGGGCCGGCTGCTCAGGGGGACCCCCTCTCAGTCCAGGCTGGCGGGCTCCTTGGTGAGTGGGTAGCCAACACTGCAGGGTGGACGGGGCGCAGACCAGCCCATCCGACGTGCAGGTCCCTCTCCTCGTCTGAGGTGGCAGTGCAGTTATCTTCCTCAGCCTCCAGGACCAGACTGGGTCACCAGGGTGTCAACCCCCCTGAGGTTGTGAAATGGCACCATGGGAGGGCAGGGAAAGGACAACCCCCAACCCCAGTCTCACTGGCTCCCAACCCCCCCCACCCACAGTGGACCATCGAGACGGAGGCTGACAGTGGCAGCGCCAGAGCACAGGGACAGGCACGGCCGAGTCTGGGTCTGGGTTGTTCCGGGGAGAGGACAGTGCGTCTGAGTTTGACCTTCCTGACCCTCAGCGCTCTCAGTGAAAAGCAAGGTGGGTCTGAGGGCCTTCGCTCAGTGCTGGGGAACATAGGATGGGAAGACGCGGGGTCCTCTGCGATTTGTGAAGGCCTGGTTCACCCCTGACCCTGTGCTTCCCAGCTTGGGGGGCAAGGCTCACAAAGCAAGTAACATGGAGCAAACAGAGATGGGCACAGCCAGCATTCCCCAAAGCTCTCAGGCGCAGGGCACAGCTGGTGGGACCCCTATAAAGAGTGAGATTCATGTGGTACTGTGTGGGGTCACAGGCAGGAGATTCTAGGAGAGCTTTCCACAGGGAGCCCCGAATGGTGACCCCCCTACCCCTGAGTCCTGTTCTTGTTCACTGTCAGCTGTACTGGGGGCCACTGTTAGCAGGCACGATGCCTGGGGTGGACCCCTGAGCCTACAGGGGGTGCTGTCCCTCCACACCCCCTCAGAGACACTATGTCATGCCCCTAGCCAGGACTCACTGAGCATTTGCTGGGTGTACAGCATGGGACACAGAAGGGTTAAGATTCCCTCACTGAAAGTAGAAGGAAATAGAGGAAAGAACTATGAAGCAAAAGACATTTATAGAAGTATACATATAAACATGCATATATGTAAACATATTAATAAATAATGATCAGGATATAGGTCTATGTGCATATATTTATATGTTAAATATCAAGGTAGCAAATGGACATTGGGTCACTACTCAAGTCCTCCCTCAGCACAAGAACACTTTGCTCTAATAACGTGGCATTCTGTGATTCTCACCTTTCTGACATGATTGTTGAAGTCAAAATGGGTGCATAAGCAAATGTGGTGAAGAAAGCTGATGGTACCCGGCTATTAGAAGATAGAGCATCTGGGTCCTACAGACTTGAAGTTAAACAAGTGGCCATCTAGCAGTAAAGCAACAAAGCCCACATGGAAGAAATGCAACAGCCTGTGTGATTGTGTGGTCACAAGGTGTCTATGGGATCAGGTATCAGGCAGCAAAAGAACCCAAACAAACAAATATATATCAATACAAATGAGGGGGGTTGGAGTGGAGACCCAAAGCCCCTTTGTAGACAATTTGGCATCTCCTCACAGATGGGCAACAAGGAAGGGATGAGCCAGTCAGG